GGTATCAGATATCAGTTTCAGTTCAATTATATATGCCAGGATCATGATATTGTTATTATTTTCACTGTTTTACATTAGTATGAGTTTCCACGGAGCACAGTGCCATAGTGCCCACTCCCCAGTTTTATCATATTTTTCAGGTCAGGATGTCGGCCAGGGAGCATGAGCGTGACGTGACGGGGACTTCAGGATATTTATATTTTGGACTGTATAATTATGATTATGATTTACGCTTCCGCTTATGATGTTTTTGATGACTTTTGACGTACTCGTTTGACGAACTTAGTACTTTTGACGAACTTGTGAGAACTTATAATTTCAGTAACCGGATGCTTTTATTAAAACTAAAACAACAGTTTTTTTAAGTTAAGTCATGATTTTAAAGGTAGCACCCCGAATCAGTTTTCGCAAAGCAAAAAGGTTTTATTTTAAATAACTTTGCGAAATTTGCGCTACTCTGATTTTACGATAAGGAGGGGTGTTACAATTGGTATCAGAGCACGTTTCTGCGTCTCTGATAAGTTTTTCAGTCAGTAAATTTTTCAGAAAAACCTGAACCGTCATGCTCACGCCCCGCCGACGACAGGTAAGTGCTGATTCAGTTTTTCAGTTATAAACATTACTTTGTCTATGCTCAGAATTGAGGATCAGGACTTTATTTAAGATGCTCGAATCAGGTTCAGATTTTAGAGTTCGGATATGACTCTAGAATTCAGGCATTCAGATATGACTCTAGACGTTAGGATTTTCCTATATGACTCTAGAGTTCTTCAGGTTTCATGTCAGTATTTATCGGCCATTTTTGGCAACTCGTCAAGAGATCTGTATGCCTTAGTAATCAGTCAGTAATGTTATCACATATTCAGTAATATTAAATTTTCTCAATGTTCAGATGCCGCCACGTAGGGAGCCCGATCATCAGGTTCCTACTCAGGCTATGGTAGTCGCTCAGTTCCGCGACTATCACGCCGAAAAGTTCTCAGGACAGGGAGACCCCCGCATCGTTGATGAATGGATTCAGGGGTTGGATTTTATCTTTGAGGTTATGGAATTCCCCGATAGGTATCGCGTAGTTTGCGCTCAGCTTCAGCTCACTGGTGATGCAAGGCTCTGGTGGAACGCCTACTGGAGCATGCGTCCCGGTGAAAAGGCGGGTTGTACATGGGACATGTTCAAGGAGTTAGTCCGCGACAAGTACTACCCTTCCTACTATCGGGCAGAAATGGAGCGCCAGTTCTTAGCGCTTCAGCAGGGTACTCGTACAGTCGATGAGTACGAGCGAGAGTTCACCAGACTTGCAGGTTTTGAACCGGATCTTGTTCGCACGGAGGCCCAGAGAGCACAGCGGTTCATTGACGGACTTTACCCAGCAGTCCGTCATAACATCGTGGGACACGGGACTCAGACGTACGCTCGTGCCGTTTCTATCGCCTAGGAGGTGGACGCTAGTATCAGGAGGGAGGCAGTCCGTGATCGTGCTCAGCCATCTGCCCCAGCTCAGCCATTTGCAGCCCCACCAGCTCTACCAGCTCCTCAGCTAGCAAAGGAGAAGAAGAGGAAGGCAAAGGGTACACAGTTTGACCGGAAGACCCGACAGAGACAGTAGCCGATTCCACCATGCCCGACTTGTGGTCGACTTCACAGGGGAGAGTGTCGTGCTAGACAGGACATCTGTTATTATTGCCAGGAGCCGGGACATTTTGCGAGTTGTTGCCCGAAGAAACTCCAGCAGCAGCCTCAGCAGCCACCACAGCAGCAGCAGCCACGACAGCAGGCACAGAGGCCGCCTCAGCAGCAGCAGCAGAGGGGCAGGCAGCAGGCCAGGGTTTATGCAGTTGATCAGGCCGAGGCCGCTCAGCAGCCAGGTGCTATGTCCGGGATGGTTGTTCTCAATGATATTCTTGTGTTTGCGTTATTTGATACTGGAGCGACGCATACCTTCATTTCACGCCGATGTCTCGATGCCATTGGAGATCACGCTGTTACCGCTGTCGATCCTCTCGGTGTGAGTCTAGCCTCGGGACGAAAGATAGTGACCTCAGCTAAAGCCTCAGATCTTAGCCTTTCCAT